TTACCAAAAAACATTTGGAGATGTTCCAGGATCCAATTTCCATTAGAAATAAATAAGTTAAGACTATAGTTTTCGATCTCCTTATTGCTTACAAAAGTTTTCCATTTAGAGATTCTTTTGTCCAGCATCCAAGTATCATGCATCCAGTCAATTGAATTTCCATTACAGATTTTCCATCTTACTATATTAATAAGATATTTAGCTCAATTACATAAAATTTTCCATGTTAAAGAGCTCCATATCTTCCTTTGATTATTCCATAAATCTTCTCCGTATCTAGCTTTGTGTATACAATTGAGCAAAGAGTCTTGTTTTGTGTAGAATTCAAAAGCAAATTTGGCCCTTAGATGATCCACTTTAGTAGCTGCACAAAAAGGCCTCTACCTCATTTTTGTTTAGATTGGAAAAGCTTCTTCCAAGATACATAATGAATCCCAACATTACCATTCTTCTTACTCCACAAGAAAGTTCTACACATTCTATCAAATTCTTTTAAGATACCCAACGGCACCAAGGAAAGTGTAGATAAGAAAATTGGAAGAGATAAGAAGGCAGATTTGATCAACACCATTTTTCCTTCCAAGGAGATAAATTTCTTTCACCAAATGTTTAATCCATTCAATGCAACTTCCATCAGATTATTAAAATCTGATTTCCCCATTCTTCTAAGAGTGAGCTTAATGCCAAGGTAGTTCTTTTGTTTGACTGACTTGAACTTCAAAATATCTTCAATTTCAGCCTTCCTTCTTCTATTGTCTGTTTTCCCAAACATCATCATGGATTTATTGTGATTCACCATTTGTCCAGTCCAATTGCCATATTTTTTCAAAACATTCTTCACCTTTTTGATATTTATCAAGTTTGCTTAAGAAAAGACTAGAATATCATCGGCATATAACAAATGTGATACTCTAGGAGCTTTAGAATCAATTTGATTGCCAATCTTCTTACCACTTTGATAAAAAGCATCAGAAAGAATTTGGGAACACAAAATAAAAAGAAAAGGAGATAGGGGATATCTTTGTCTAAACCCACTCTTAGCATCAATCCAATTTGATTTTTTCCCATTGATCAAAATACAAATTTCGGATTTGATATACAGCTCATAATCCAATCACAAAATTTACTAGGGAAATTAAAGTGGAGAAGAACTTGCATCAAAGCTTGCCAACCCATGCTGTCGTAAGCCTGCTCCATGTCTACTTTGATAGCCAAAAAACCTTTACTTGCTTTAGAATGTCGGATTTTATTGATAACCTCTTAAGCCAAGAGAACATGATCTGATATAGATATCCCCTTTAGAAAAGCCACTTGATCTCTAGAAATAACTTTGTGAATAACCATCTCTAATCTATTAAGAAACATCTTTGCTACTAATTTATAAGTGGTCATACAAAGGCTAATTGGACAGAAATTTGCTTGATAAAGAGGATTCTGCAATTTAGGAATTAGAACTATCAAAGTTTCCTTCCAATTTTTATTCATGCATCCTGTCTTGAAGAAAATTTCAATTGTATTCCATATATCTTGATGAATGATCTTCCAATAGTATTTAATAAATGAGAATGTAATCCCATCAAGGCCTGGAGAAACATTCATACGCAGGCTGTCTACTACCAACTGGAGTCTGCCTTTGTAAAATCAGCTTCCACTTTCCTTTGTTCAACTGCTTCCAAAACAGCAAATGGTTTCGGCCACCCCTTCAAAAGGAAATTTCTGTGTTTCCATTTAGAATTGAAAAATTCTGAGAAAATAGTTTTCATTTCCTCTGGCTGATCTATCAGTATACCATTTTCATTTGTAATGTGTTTAATCCAGTTAGAACTTCTTCTAGCATTAGAATAAGAGTGAAAGAAAGCAGAATTTGCATCACCCTCCTCCATTCACCTCACTTTGGCTCTTTGTTTCCACCAAATATTCAGCCTATCCAAAGTACAATTCAGTTCACTGACTTTAGATCTGAGAATAAACAATTTAGTATCATTAAGCATTTCTTCAGCCTCTTCTAATTGAAGATTAAAGATCTCTGTTTTTAAATAGTCTTTTAAAGCATTCAAACTTTTGAATTTTGCCTTGCTCCAATAAAAAAGAGCCTTCAAAGTTCTCCAAACTTTTTCCAAGATTTTTCAACAATAGCAGTAGCTCCATGATATGAAGCCCATACATCTTCAAAACGAATGTCTTTGTAATTAGCTTTGACTTGTTTGAACACCTCTAAGATGATCAGACAATGATCCGATGCAATTCATGATAAATGCTTCACCAAGGCTAACTAGATAGAATTCATTGCATAAAAATTCATAAGACATCTATCAAGTCTTTCTAGAATACCGCCTCCTCCAAATTTGTTGTTGCACCATATAAATTTTGGTCCAATAAACACAACTTCATGAAAGTCATTATTGCTCATTAACATCTTCATAACCTTAGCTCCTTGAGAGAATACAAATTTCTTTCCTCCTCTCTTTGCCTCCTGGGACAAAATAAAGTTGAAGTCTCCCCCTATAACAGCCAATTTATTGACACATCAAATTTCTCGAAATTCTCCCATAACGCTTTTCTATCCACCGTATTTCTACTTGCATAAATAGTGGATACTAACCAGCCTTCTTGTTAAAAACTTCGAGATTCCCTGTAATAACTTGAGAAGAAACCTCCAAAACAGTAAACGATGCCAAAACCTTCCTCCAAAGAACTAAGATACCTCCCAAAAGTCCTTCTGAAGGAACCATATAAGAGTCCCAAATCTCTCCTAGATGATGCAAAATCTGTAGATTATCCATTGAACAAACTTTAGTTTCAACTAACCCCAAAAAAAGAACATTATTATCTTTGAAAATTTCTTGAGATATAGAGCAGCCTTTCTCTTCTTGGCTCCTATACAACTCCAAAAAGCTAGAGAAGTCATTGTTTAAACAATGGGGAAGGACCCCCACCTTTTTTGATTTTGCCAACCTCCATCTTTCTGTTGTGACTAACGACCCCAATGATTTGAATTCTTGAAGTAGTTCAACTTTCTTGCCAGAAGAAGAAATTTTAGTTTCTTTCACCTCACAGGATACATCTTTATATTTATCCTCATAGTAGATCATCAAATCCTGATCTTTAAGAATTCTTCTATCATTTTTATCTAGCTCAATTATTTCTCCATCTTCAACATCTCTACTATCTTCCTCTTCCACAAGCCCCTTCATATTATTTTCTTCCATCTCTGATAAAATATCAAAATTGTTTAAAGTAGGAACAACAGCAATTAGAGCTTCAACCTGAGATATAACAAGTTGATTTGCAAACAAATCTTCTCAGACCATGACTTCACTAAGCTGATCTTGCTCTTTCTCAATTTGCAAAGCTCCTTCCAGGTTAGAAATCAAATCTTCATCTGAAATTTTAACAGGTTCCTCAACCAACTTAGAGTTTTGTTTGGGAACAAAAACTCTTTTAGTTGTTTGCTTCTGCCTTTGAACAACTTTAAATCTCTTCTCCTTTCTTCTATGGTTCACTTGAAGCCACGGGCCATAATTAGACTCTTCATCTACATGCTTTGAATCTTCTGTTTCCACTAAATTAGTAAGAATCCCATCCATTCCTGCTGAACCAGAATTATTGTTGCTCTTCATATCTTTCTTCTTGGACTCCTTGCAATCAGAAACCATGTGACCCATCCTTCCACATTCATAACAGAGTTTTGCAATACCTTCATATTCGAATTTCTAGTAAAATTTTCCAGATAAACCCTCTACCCAAACTCCCAAAGGAAGTTTCTCATTCAAGGGAATTCGAACACAAACTCTAGCATATTCTCTCCTTCCCCCTTGAAATAAATTCCCATCTAGTAAGTAAGGCTTACCTACTATTGAAGAAATTATGCAAATGTTGATGTAATCCCAACAATGCAATGGTAAATTTGGTAATCTTAACCATATTGGAGCTGAAATCCCATTCAATGAGGTTGGGGAAAATGATGTGGACCATTTATCCAAACCCACCACATGGCCTCTAACATACCATGGTCCACCTGATAAAACTTCTTCTATGGCTACTGGATTTTCAAATGAACATAGCACCCAACCAGTGCCTAAACCAGTGATATGAAATTCGCCGATTTTACTCCATTGCCCTCTTAAATCATTACAAACTGCTGAGAACAAAATGTTGTCCCCAAATACCTTCACCACTAATGCACATTTCAGCTTCTTAGCATTATTAATTTCATTTTCTGAATGTAACAGTGCAGAGTTTCCGTCTTCAGTAAGAAAGGATCCAATATCCAATTCATCCACTTTGATGTTCTATTTCTTCTTCTATATAGAGGATTCATACCTTTTTCCATCCAAAGGAATGTTGAAGTTATCCTCATTATTCTTCTTATTTTCCACAATAACTGTGACTAGCAGGGGAAATTCTTCATTCAACTTGTCAACATGAGACTTATCTCCTTCAGATGGAATTTTCCTTACAGAATTCTAAACAATTGGAGAAGACGGAAGAGATATTGATTTGAAACCAACATTAGAGAGATTCTTCCTTCCCGCTGACGATGAAGTTTCAAAAGTTCATAATATTATTCCCTTCATTATGAATAGAAGATGATAAAAGCTTCTTCGGGCTTAGAAACTCATCTTCCCTGAAAACTTCTTTACCTTTTCCCAACACTAATGGTTCACAATATTGTTCAGCAAGCCACCCTCCCTGATCACCAAAGGTTTCTCTTTAGGATGGTATTTAAAAACTGTTGCAGACATCTGACCTCCCTTAAATACCTCCGACGAAGCTCCCACATGAACATTGAATCCTTTTCTGATGTTCAGCCAGGCCTCAGACGACGCCAGACGCCTTCCTTCCATCACCGTCTGCCCGATCCTCCGGTGAGACGGCAATGAATTGGCAAAACAAAACCAGCCATGAAAATGATGGAACAGAAAAATTTTGAAAAGATCACCATAATCCCTCCAAAATCTCCTTTCAGTTTACACGATGACAAGTAAGCAAAAAAAAATAATCTGTTAGAAAGCTTCAGGGCCATCTCAGCGGGTGGTGGCCAACTGAGAACGATCCTCCACAACTCGATTCGAATGGATCAGAACTGTTAATCACGCTCGAGCCAGAAGCCACTTTTCATCAACCAGAGTTAGTTGCTTGCCTCTTTTATAGTTAAAGATACAGCTGTACGAGCCTATAAAATAGATCATGTTCACGCTCTAGCCCAGAACCGTTAATTTCTCTTTCTAACTAGGTAATAATCTTTTCTCCATCTTATTAATCCCTCATTTTCAAAAAATTGTCTCTTTCTTATGCGCACACACACATACACACACACAGTCTTCTATCAAATTTCTAAAGATCATGCATATGAAGAATTACATAAGACATTTCTTTATTTAAATAAAAAAATTACTCTATGAATTAAAAAAATACATAGTATTTCCATTTTCCATTATCTAAAATAAATAATATCATTTTTTTTGTTAAAATCTGTTATAGTGGCTTACGCGTTAACAAAAAAAATTTATTACAAAAGTCCTTAAAATGGAAAAATCACTTACTAAATGCTCATAAGTGCTACAATATAAAACAAAAAACCTAATGAGCAATGAGCCCCTATCTACGATACAATTATTCAAAACCAAAAATAAAGACAAATTTGAACAAACAAAAAGCATCAAACCTTGCACCCAAAAAGCAACCATCTACCAAACTACAATGCAGATTAACCTGCAAAACTAAAAAAACATTAACCTACAAAATAAAAACCTCAATGAAAAAAAATAAGTAACCTCCAAATGGACAAAAAAACAATAAAGACAAGCAAAATTAAAAAAAAAAATAGGTTCCCTCCAATTCTAAAAGTCCTAGTGCCTCGAGAAAAAAACACACCATCCGAACCCCCACCAACCAACCAACAACCACACAGACCACCTAAACCAGCACGCCAACCAGCCAACAAACGCCATGGCCCAACAAGAAACACCAACCCAACTAACAAAACCCCCCTAACCAGCACGACCCACCAAGAAAAAATAGGCCCCCAATAAAATACACCACACAAAAATGAAAACAACCTAGAAAACAAACCCCAACACACACAAACAATACCACCCCTACAAACTACACCAACAAATAAACAACCCCCCCCTCCTCCCTCCCCCAACACCTAATAAAAAAAAAAAAACACAAGAACCAAGCACTAAAGAGAAACCAACTCAAAATAGCATTCATAAGCAGCAAATTATTTTCTCAAATAAGGTAAACTAGATTTATCTAATTTAATCAAACATTTTAGTAAAAAAGGAATATTAGAATTATAAAAACAAGTAAAAGAACACAACTTAGCTCCCAACAGAGCCAAAAAATCAACACAAGCATTACTTTCTCCTCAAATATGGAAAATAGAATAATCAAATTGAGAAAGCATACTTTTAATATCCTTAAGAAGATAAAAAATATTTTCATTACCAAGGTTAGAACAATTAAGAAAATGAATAACTAATAAGGCATCAACTTCAATCCAAAGCATTAAAAATCCACTCGATAAGGCAATTTTAAAAGCATGAAAGAGAGCCTTAAGTTTAACATACATAATAAAACAAAAAGAGAGGAAAAAAAAAGCAAATAAACAAATTACCTTACTTATTTCTCAAAATACCTCCACAACCACACTTTCCATTTGCCACTGATCCATCAGTGTTAATTTTAATGAAAAGTTCCCTCGGCTTTATTCAATAGACAAACTAAAAAAAATATCAGCCTCATTGTCAAAGATCATATAACAAAAATTCTTAGCCACAGCCTTAAAGCCACAAAA